GAAGAAACAAAGGAATCAATTATTAGAATATTTTCAAGAACAATGGTTTAACAAAGTTCCGACTACTCAATGGTGTGTTCACGGCTTGTCTATGCGAACTAACAACAATGCATAAGGTATATATCTTAAATTATCTCTCTCAATTTCCTATTCGTATACTTCATTTAGCATTTCATAGTCGTTTCAATCGTCGTGTACAAATTCATCATCCAAATATATGGTCATTCATCAAGCTTTTGCAAGGTGAAGAAAGTCGTTTTTATCATATGCTTATACAATTTAATGCTGGTTTAGGTGCAAGAACAAAACAAGCAAAAACAATTGCTATTCAACGTCGTATAGATAATCTTGATAAACGGTATTATGATGGTCTAATTGATGTAATGGAATATTTAAATGGATTATCATTTACAGTAGCTAAACGAAAAAAATAATATCTCATTATTCATTTCTTTTTTTTGTTATCTTCTCCATGACCCATATGATGATGATAATGTTACAGAATAGAAAAGGAATATTATGTTAATTAAAATTTTCGATATTTTTCTATTTCGATATTTTGTCTGTCTATATTTTTTCCTTCGACATTTTTACCTTCGACATTTTTCCTTTCGACATTTTTCCTTTCGACCAAACTACGGCACACCGTTTTCACTTGGGTATGGCTCTAAAATAGCACTATAAGTTTGTGGTGAAAATAAAGTGCATGTAAGATCTTTATAGGATCTTGTAGTATGGTCTGATGTAAGATCGCAAAGACTACGATTTTTTGACAGATTGTTGTAAGATTCTATTCAAACTACAAGATCTTAGAAGCTCTTATGCGGTCTGATGTCAGATTTTTTAACATGGCCTGTTAATCGACATCGGAAACAAACACGAGAAAGATGATTAAAAAGCTCGAGAAAACTATTTTATTATGGAGAAGGAACAATTAAACAATTATATAGAATTACATTTAATACCTTCAGGAGTATAAAAATTATATAAGGTAAGTGCATATGTTCTATTTCGAAGGATTTTGGTCCTTTAGTACATAAAAAAGTTGAAGCATATAGAATCCAGCCGTATTAAGTAAGAGTACAAAGAGGATTAATCAAGTGTCTATGCAGCATAAATGAATCATGAAGCATAAAATATAGAAAGAGAAAGGAAGTGATTATTGCATAGAGCATTGTTGCTAAGAGCGAAAACAGTACTGCGCAGTAACCTTTGTACAGATCTTTTTGTAAATAATTTGTTAAAAAGAAAAAGAAAAACAAGTCACGAAAGAAACACATTTGAGTACAATAAATATACAAATCCATAAAAAATTTCGTATAATCCTTTATTAATCAAATCGTAGAAGAGAGCAGAGGAAGTGATACTGACGAAGACATTATCGAGTGGATCAAAAGCAAACTAGAAGAATCATTTGATAAACTACGTTGATAAATAATGTATAGAAATAATTCAGTAAGTGGCTATATTGAAAAAATCCGTAGAGAGAAAAAGAAGAAACAGATTGTATTTCTTTCTTGTAATACATTGTAGTAAGAAAAATATATATATACAGAGAGAGTCATGATTTCTCGTGCAAAAGGGATATAAAAAGGAAAGGTGGAGTAGTTACGTAGCTCTCTACTGTTATTGATATTATCAGGTGAGTTTAGTAATGTCCTTATATGATGAAAAACTCCTTAGATATAATCTTACTTCGAAATTCCCTAAAGTATTTTAGACCGTTCGACGACAAAATAGTTCAAAAGATGGCATCACTATTCTATACTAATGGAGTACCCTTGAGTCACCAAGTTCTACAATAGAAAGACGCCTTGGATTCCGAAGTCCTATAGTAATCGGATACCCTTGAAGCCTAAAGTTACACAGAACAAGGTGTCCTTGGGTCCCCAAGCCCTATATAAGAAAGTACTCTTGGGTCCTCAAGTTCTTCTACACGGTGGCATCTTTGAGTCCTCGAATCCTGCTATAGCGGGCTACCTATCGATCTTCAAATTCAATAGTATAGGATGCTCTTAGAGCTTCAAGTCTTATACTAGATGATGCCGTTGAATTCTGAACTAGTACTGTACACGTTACCATTGAGTCCACGAAAGCTGATCCCCATAAGCTCCACTTCCTTCAGAAAAGGTATTCGTCGATCAATTCGTAGACAAAAATACAAGAGAAACGGAATAATTTGCGTACATTCTCAGATCTGAAATATCAGCTAACCAAGGAGAAACGAAAATTTCATGCAAGCAAATATGGCTTCACCGCTATCAATCCTCTGGCACAAACATAAGCCGCTGAACCTATTTCCACATTAGCCGACCAATTGTTTGACCAACGCTGAATAGGTAAACTGCAGCTTTTCATACCAATAAAACCATATAGTACTAACAATTTAGAGTGCATACATACCGCTCTGCTATTCATTATTAAAACCTCATTTTCAAAAAAGTAACCGACGTGATGACACATGCAATCCCCAACTTATGAGTAATAAGTTAAATCAGATTGCGCTTACGTATTTGGTTTGAAATAGAACATACAAATATTTCACCCGAATGCTCGTTCGTCGGAGAGCCCATCTTGTCGATCACCAAAATCGACTGCACCGCTCTCAAACACTGACTAGAGACTCCACTTTTCTGAAACTGACTTAGACTCTCCAGCGTTTTTAAAGTTTGATTATTTTCTCAAAAACCCTTTCCGCAAGATGATTAGTGCTGGTGTCAAATTTTCTTTAGTCCCGTTCCCAGTTGCCTCCTATGCTTATAGTAATTTTTCTCAAACTCTTATCAGTACAGAAAGGCTAGGTTACTGTTTTGCTCTCGATTCGATAGCGTTACAGTAACTATCGGCACCAGATACAATACCCCTTAGCAAATCGAGTTTCTTCAATCCAACGTCAGATCAAACCTTTTGGGTAATCGATTAGAAACAGCTTTAAAGATTTTAGGGATCTGTGTGTGAGTTCATGTGGTTCTAGACGTACCCTCTTAGACTGCTGTTCATGACTAATCATCTTCTCCATACTATAGCTCAAGTAGAAGTACAGGTACACCGTGAATTCGAAAAGTCTGAGAGACCAAATCGTTATAAACAGGGGACAAGATACAAGTTACTGCCCTCACCATTACCCTGTAACGAGGAAGCTTACCTATTACCAACTACCCAGTAATGGTAATGGTAAGGTCAAATTTCTAGTACCCCACACTATGCGACTAGAGAGTCTCACGTTACCATCTACTTTGAAACATGAGATCTAAGACTACCTTCTATAAATAGACTTGAGAAAACAAGCGCACTCCCTATAGTAGTACCTGAGAACCAATGAGTATTTCCTGGTTATGGGATTTTAGGGTCGAAGGGTAGCCATTCAGTGTAGGATTTGAAAGATCGATCGTATGTCTCAACAATAAAACACGAGGACCAAAGGATAGCTCTCTATAGTAGGAATTCAAAATTCAAGAGTACTTGTCTAGTATAGGGCATAAGGTCCCCAGGGTATCACTCTATAGTAACACTTGAAAGTTCGAGGATGCTCATCTAGTATCGAACTTGAGAACCCAAAGATACCTCCCTATAGTAGAGCTTCCTAAACCAAGGGTACATTCCTATAGTAATATTTGAGGACCAAAGAGTAGCAGTCCAGTGTAGAACTTAAGGACTGAAGGGTACTTCCTTATAGTTGAACTTTTGAAATCACGAGTTCCCATCTAGTATAGGATTTAAAGATCTCAAGGCGCCCGCATAGCGTAAGATCTAAGGACCCAAAACTATCTACAGGGTGTCCAAAAAGTCACCTACCAAAAAGAAATTTGAATATCTCCCTTACTACTCGAGCAAACGAACTGATGTTTTTATCTATGATAGAAGCATGCTTAAAGTTTATATCGATAAAGAGATGCCTAGAGAGACCCTCTGCTAAGTATCACTATAAACCTCATCAAAAATAATTTTACTTTTGCACAGATAGGGAAAACAGATATTCAGGGTGACGCAAAAGTCACTTTGCCAACAAAAAGAATTGAACAGCTCCATGACGGCCGGAGCAAACGAGCTGATTTTTTTATTAATGATAAAGATATGTTCAAGCTTTATATTCATAAAAACATGCCTAGAGCGACCCTTTGTTAAGTATGCTGTTTTTTTCTCGTATTTGTGAAAAAGTAAAATTCTTTTGTTGAAACTAATAGTGATACTTAACAAATGGTGTCTCTAGGCATGTATTTATGGATATAAACTTTGAACATGGCTCTATCATTGATAAAAAAATCAGCTCGTTTGCTTGAGTAGTAAGGGAGATATTCAAATCTTTTTTTGGTAGGTAACTTTCCGGACACCCTGTACGTATGTTAGAACTTGAGGATCCAAATGTAGCTTCCCATAGTAGAACTGGACGACCCAAGGGTACCTCCTATAGTAGTACTTCAAGAGTTTGCTCCTATAACAGAACCTGTAGCTGCAAGGGTACCGTTACCGATTTCTTGGAAACTTGCAATCCCTATTTTAGTTGAGTGTTATTAAATAAAATGACGAACCCCTTCAATTCTTAGAATCTTTCAAAACCTCAAAACTCTCTCAAAATCTTTTCAAATTTTCAAATTTGCTTTTCCGCTCTTGCCCGCACCACACACGCGCCCCACTCACTCATATCTACACCTGCACCCCACTCACTCATACCCACACCCGCACCCCAATCACTCATACCCACACCCGCACCCCAATCACTCATAGCTACACCCACACCCACACCTCAACAAAAATTTCTCATTCATTTTGTCTAAGATATAATGCTGCAATCCATCATCATTCAGACTTGGTTCTTTTTCTGCTGGAGGGAGTAAAGTGTCTATTGCAAAAATATAACGAAGAATTTCATTGGAACTAGTTTTTGGGGATCACAGGAATCATCGAACAAAGGGTATTGCATATCTCTTCCACAGCTTTTGTCCCTTTTTGTGTACTCAAAAAGTGAGTACACTACTAAAATCGGTCTGTGTGTCCGTCCGGCCGTCCGTATACACGATAACTTTCGAAAGAAGAGTCAGATCGCGATGAAATTTTTTACACAGTTCAGTCTTTACAATATCTCGGTCGAGTTCGAAGATGAGAAGGATCCGTCGAGAAATGGCTGAGTTATAAAAAAAATTGTGATTTTTGACCAGACCATCCCTGAGGGGGGGTACAGGGATTTTTTCAAAAAAAAAAATTTTTTCTCTGAATTGTTCACAACATATATAAATCGACTCAGTTTTTAACGCT